TAGCATCAAAACTCTAAGATATGATTAGAACCAAACTTTGTTCTAACAAAACATAGATGATCACAATATATAAATCAAGGTGCTTGGTGATTCCTCATGAGCAAACCTAAAGATTGGGAGAAGAACTAAACCCTAGTGTGACCTTGTTGTGATTGAGTTGATATGTGATGATAGAGGAATCTTAGGGGGAAAATTGGGATACAACATGAAGGTATATCAGATCCTCCACATACATTGCACCAACAACATCCTCAATAGTGTATGGGATCTGAATATGAAGGATGATCGATTCTGAAGCAGGGCTCCCAGACATGCGAGTCCGTTTACAAGAATTTTCCTTTGAAAAGATAATTTAATCTTGATCACGATTCGTATTTGTCTGAAAAATAGGATATATGGGCCGACCAGCGACAATCACAGCAACATCGAATGGAAAAGTTTGGTCATGAAATAGTGACTAGAGAGACCCTCGGCTGCAGCAAGCACAACAAAAATAGTGAGAGGATGAGTAACAGTCCAAGTCAAAGGACTAGGTTTAATGCCTTGAGTAACAACAATGGCGCAAACCTTTTGCAAAGTGTCCATTTTATCTACAAGCACAAACACCCGTGTAAAAAAGGGAAACTAGAGGACTTCATCCTCGCCAAGGACCTCTTTCCTTTCTGGGCAACCAACCATGCTCAAAATTGCACATGTATCAATATATCTCTTCCCCTGATAGGAAGACGACACTTCGGTGGGGCCAAACTCCTCTTCATAGTAAAATCAATGGTAGAGAGACTTCAAATCCCTTTTCATCAGAATTTCTTCGACAGTGAGGGAGTCCACTTTGACACCATACGAATAAGGTTTAAGATGGAAGTGAGGTCAAGCCCAGTATTTCAGAAACCTACCCTTACAAGAGCGATAATATTCGATAGAGCTGGAGCCAAAGTCAAAGTGAGCCTCTTGAGTGCAAGGCCTCACCAGCATAAAGCTCTCTAGGAAGTCACCCAATTTTTAAAGAAATGGCCGAACAAGGGAACATGTTGACGTAGCTCATTATATCCTTGATCCAAGATGTTATACTGAGAAGTGTGTACCACTGTGAATAGATTGAAGAACAGTTGGTAGGAGGTTTTCCTATACCTAGGTTCGACCCAAAATTGGAACACCTTTAGGTAAGTCCAGAAACCTGGTTAAATTTATTGTGAGTGCAACTTCACCATTAGAGGTTGTTTACATGATGTCAAAACTAGGAAAACTTAGCATTTTTGTATATTGGACGGTATCTTTGTGTCATTTAGTGCACCCTTGCATTAAATGTCTTAGGAAGCATTTAAAATAATTTGAAATTGGCAAAAAATATGAAGAAAAAAAAATTTCATAAAAGATACAACATGTGTCGGCACATCCACTTTTTAGGCCGACACATGTACTGCAATATTGAAGCATGTATTCTCTGTGTGCATGTGCTGACACATAGCCCTGTTCAGGTCGGCACATACTGCATATTTTACACGTATGTTTCGGCATATTTCCTTTTCAGGCCAACACATGTGTCAATGTTTGACATTACGTGTCGACACATAACTCTTATGTGTCGATGTATCCTGTTATTTGGGTAATTTTTTCAAGTGTTTTTTAATTATGAAGTTTCCCTCTTTGCCACCAAATTTCCATAATTATAAATACATCATATGTACTTCATTTCAAGTTGATGAAACTATAAACACTAACCACCATTGCTCTTCATCTTTAACCTCCAACATATGCATACACACTAACAAACTACTCATAATAATTTTTTTGGGTTTCATCTAGACGAGGTTTAATAATGTTCAATTAGGTTTGTGTAATCGAGAATATTGGATTGAGAATTGTGGGGTTTCATCCAGAAAAACCTAGGGTTTGTCCTATAAGATCTTTAGTATATTTGGGCATTGTTCAAGACTTTGCAATAGTTGATTCGGCCGAGTGAAAGCTTTAAATATTTGGTATCTTTCAAAGGAGTAGTGCGAGACAGTGGATCGTATTGGAAGCTCTTATGGTCAATAGTTTGCAATTGGATTAATCGAGTGAAAGCTTTTGACATTTGGTATCTCGCAAAGGAGTAGCGTAAAATTGTGTATCATTTGGATCTATTGTGTCTTAGTCTTGTTCAAGATAAAAAGAAGAGAATAGATTGAATCAATATCAAACGGTTAGGATTTGTAAGATTGCTCTTAGAACACTTCTCTTGTAATAAACTTTTTACAAAGTAATAAATTTATCTCAATTCCAAAACGGAATTGGGGGGAGACGTATCCATAGTGAGGATGATTGGTGAACTTCCTAAACAAATCCATGTGTCATTCTCTCTCTCTCTCTCACCCTCTCTCTCTCTCTCTTACTCACATTTACTTACTATATGCAGTTTGTTGAACTTGGTGTTTGATTGATCGATTCATATATAATTTTTTTCTTTGATTTTTAAAGTTTAAATTCCTTGGTTGATTAGCTTATAATCACTTTGATTGTAATTATTTTCTCAAATCAACAAAGCTCAAGAGAAAATCTGAAAAATTGATTGCGCTCCAAGTGTTTGATAAATTGTCTAGTGTTGTTTTAAACACAATTTCATTGAAAATAGGTAGCTGTTGTGATTTGTGATCAACGATTAAGAGAGATATAATTGTGTTGCCTGTTTTTATCATTATTAACTCCATACCACTTTCACATATCCGTGTTTCAAATAACAAGGTTCGTTTAGACGACTTTTTCAATCTAAACCAATAACCTTCCGCTCAACATTGTCTTTCAAAATAAGTTTTTAATTACCTAATTTTTGAAAGGTGATTTTTACTTGGGGATCTATTCACACTCTCTAGATAAGTCGTTGTCGTCTAACATTTGGGAAGGAGCAACCTTTAGGTATTCTAACACTTCCACCTCAAACATTAACAGGGGCAACTGCAGGTTTATCATGGTGAACAGACACTTGTAAAAATGGGGACAAAACACCCTTCAAAGGTGTAGCATATCCTTTTCTTCGGATCCACAGGAAGGACTGACTAGTCCAAAGGACGGTCAACTGTGATGTTTATCGCATTAACAACCACCTTATCACTTAAAATGAAGGGAGTTCCCACTATCTTTAAGTCCACCCAATTGTATTTGCTTGTGTCTTCTGATTCCACCAGCGTAGCCCTCCTCAAATACAACTCATCGACTTTAAAGATCTTGAAGGGTTTAAGCTAGCCAACTCCATCTATTCAGGCCCAACGCCTAAGATGATCCTATATTTCAGCGTCACTGGGGTTGTGACCACTTGCCTTCTGATAAGCCTTAACGTAATATTTAGCATCCTCCATATTTAGAATAACAACCTTCATTTACGGAGTCCTCAAAGCAAGCGAAGTAAAACTTCCTACAACTTAAGAAGAGGCAGGAACAAAAGTGACTGTGCAATCATCTTTTGCATCGTCATCACAAAAGAGAGCATGAAAAGAAGAACCGTTGGAGGAAGCTCCCTTATCTAGAGATCCTTATAGAGCTTTTTTGAGTCAGAATCATCAATTATATATATGACCTCATGGACTGGTTGATCATCAATTAAGAGGGAAGGGTTTGGACGAGAAGATACTCCTGCCCTAACTAAGGGAGAAGAATCATCACTCCTAAAATGGCTAGACAAATTTATGAGGTTATCGTTCATATTGAAGATATGAAAAGCTTAAAGTAGGGAGGATACGTGGTAGAAGCAAAATCTGACAGAAAAGACATAGTTCAAATAGGTAAATCGAAGTTTGTCCAAAGATTAGCAATCACTCTGAGAAATACTCCTGGAGAAGAAGAATGAAAGATGCTCATAAGTAGAAACTGACTCTCAAAAGTAGCGAAAAGTTCTCTCAAAACACGAAAACTCTCATATATAGACGAAGACAATCATCGAACCAGATCAGTGAAAGCACCACCAATTCAGGGTCCTCTACCACCAATCAACATCAATTTTGATTCTAGAACAAAACCGTTTTTGACAACAAAAATTGACATCAAACATATAGAGTATCATTAATTAATTTCAACACCTCATTTAACCACAAAAATATATCATTAACCAGTTATTTTATCTATAACTCATTAACCAAAATTTACTACTTTATTAATCAATAAAATAAATAATATTAACCATTTAATTTATAAAATATACTTATGCCAATTTACAATTATGAAAAATAAATGGCTAATACACTTTATTTTGCTTGTTAATGAAGTGACAAAAATATTAATCAATTATATACAAAAATACATGGTTAATAATATATTTTTAATAATTAATGAAGTGATAAAATTGATTAATTACATAATCTTATATTTGTATTACAAAATAATTCTTTATATTATATTAAAAAATATTTTTTATAAATTAAAATATTATTTTAAAAAGGTTTTTCTCAAAAATTCACTATTTTAAATAATGCCAACGGTGTTTGATATCAACTTTTGGTGTCAATATTCCTTTTTTTTTTTCTTTTATATATATATACACGACAAATTCTTAAGTAGTCCCAGACATAGTGTAGAATTACACATAACCAATCATAATATTTGTATTAACTAAAAACTGAAGTAAATAATTTCTCTCTCCTCCATTATCACAACCACTCTGGCAATTAAAAAATAAATTAAATTTTAAATAAATTAAAAAAATTCTCATTTCTTATTGATTATTTCTAAGAAAATGAATTTATATCCGTTCCCATGCAAGAATTGCTCTATGTACACCATATATCCTCAATGAGTGAAGTCATATCCAAGGGGAAATTCTATACACACCGTTTCTCCATTCAAATGCATTCAATTTTCTTTCTGCAAACAATTGGTCTACAACACAAAACTGACCATTTAGCTAAATTTTCAGTACAAGAACATGCCCTATTAAGAACGGTATAAGTTCATTATTAAGAGGAATCAAAATGAAAAATGACCAAGTAATAATGAGAGTATGTGAAATTATACACGGGCCATATCTATGATTATCAAATTTCACCTTGCTCCTTTACTTCACTCATGGAAACATTGTTGGTATTGCTCAATGCATTTCCAAGGCTGTTGAAGGACCCATTTCTATACAGATTATCCAATTCATCAAAGTAAGGGCAAGTTTTACTATTTAGAGGCCGCTTCTTGCCACTCCCCACTGTCCTCTTGTAATACTTGTTGATGTTTTCCCATTTCTCCTTACACTTCTTCGCAGATCGATTGAAACCCTTTCCGCGCAACGCTTCAGATATCTCCTCCCATATTGATCCTTTCGTTCCCGTAAGACCACCACCAAACCTGTGTTCCAACGCAGTTCTTACCACTATGAGTGCTTGTACTTCCACATCTGGCCATCTATTATTGCTCATATCGCCGTTGAAATCTCTCTTGTTGTTTACCTCGACTCTATCTTCTTCTTTTTTCCCGCTTCCTTCTCCTGGTTGATAAATTTGAATTTCATGGCCCAATAAGTTCATAGCTTGTTGAGGAATTTGAATTTCCTGGCCCAAAAGCTTCTGAATGAACGATATTAGGGCTAAATTACGAGACCTTTCTTGCGCTCTAGCTTCGTCTTCTTTCTTAAATCTTTCCATCTCCTCCCGCCTCCATGCGTCTTCTCTCTTCATTCTTTCTTTTTCCGTCTTCTCTATCATTTCCACCAATTCCTTATGCATCTGCTCTTGTTTCTCCATCACCCTCTTAACCAAACTTTCTACAAAACTTTCAAGCTTTCTCGCCGCCTTTTTCCTTCTCTTTCTCGAGCCAAAATCTTTTGTACTTCCAGACGAATTCTCTACGTCGTCGACATCCTCTTCATCATCCAAAGACGAACTGAAATAATGAAAAATCACATTCATAATCTGTCCATTCACAGAGATTTTGGTAGTTTCATTCAATATATCCTTTATCCAATATGCTAAGAAAAAAAAAACTTGTTCAAATCCTAACTCAAGGTTGGACGCCAAACCAGAGTTTCGAACTCCGATACTCAAGGTTGTGTGTCTGATTCCAGTAGTTATTACTACATCGTTTACAAACTCAAACAAAATCTCCTCAACCTTGTCAAAATTGTCATCACCACAAATTACTTTTTTTCTATTCAGTAAAAAAAAAGTTGCTTTTTTCTAACGTGCACAAAGATACACAAATTCAAATTGAAATAAAGAATTAAATAAAACAGATGAGAACTGAAAGTAAACCTAATTTTATAATCAAAATTCTAAACAAATAAAAATGTAAAAAGCTGGTAACTTTTAAATGAGCAAAATAAAACTTTGCCAGCTAGAGACAAAGAACTAACCCGGGTTCCTGCTTATTAGGCAATGGGGAATTACCCGACCCGGATTCAGTGGGGTCCTTGTTCTGAGTAGAAGGTTCTGGAGGGTGAAGGTTGGAAGGGGACTGAGCATTGAGTAGGGAACTAGGAGGAGGAGGGACGGACCTGATGGGGCGGAGCTTTTGGGGATTGTGGCGGTTGGAGAGGAGGCCGGCTGCGAAGAGAAGGTCGCCGGTGTCGGGAAATGGAGCGACGTGGTCGGCGGCGAAGAGGTCCATGGTATGGTAAAAAAACAATGGCCGGCGGCGTGAGGGTTTTGGGGAGAGGTGAAAATGGAGTTGAAACGGTGGTTACTGTCGGGTAAGAAAATAAAATCTAATGCTTTATATTGCGTTAAAAACTTTAGTAAATTGGTATTATCACTAGTAAAGACAAATTATATGACATTATTACACATCTTAGTTAAGGGTATTTTTTTATTGGGTTAAATATATTTTTAAGTCATTATAAATATTTTAAATTTTAGTTTTTAGTTTTTATTAAAAAAATACATATATTTTAGTTTTTATAAAAAATTTATTCATGCATTTTTAGTCTTTGTTATTTTTTAAAATTTTGTGTTTTGGATTGGTTCAATAATTAGAATTGATCCAATCTGCTCATATTTCCAACATGGTTTAACAAGCGCTGGCCCAATAACTATAGATCTGGGTCGGACACGTCTGATCGAGAATCTCGTGGAACTGCGAGATCAACAACGTCGAAATTATGCTCTTGTCTGTAACGACAGTTTCCTCTCCGATATGCTCGCTACACGTCAAACAGATAATCAGACTAGCGCTCACAACACGTCTGTCTGTCATCTCATCCCTGCACGGAGTAACGGCTAGTTACGGGCACGCTGCCCGTTTTGACCAGGTCCTGACAGTTACATATTTTCATGAAATCTAATATCTAGGCCCAAAAATAAGGACGAATAGCTACGCGTCAGGTGCATTATATAAACCCTCACACTTGTAAGGGCCAAATATCGAATATTCACTCATAAAACCCTAATCTCTTTCTTGTATCTCTTTGCATTATTTCTCACTAGATCGTCGGAGTGTCTTGCAAGTACACTCCCTCCTCTCCACAAATTTCACGTCAAGCAAACGTTGTCATCGCGGCCCACTTTCAAGTTCTGATCACAAGTACGAACATTTTGAAAAATGTTTAATTATTTTTAAACTTTTAAATTTTTGAATAATTTTTTGCATACATGTTTAGTATACTATACAAAATTTCTTTACCAAAATTTAGAATTTTTTAAAATGAGATGAATTAAATATGAATTTTTTAAATTTTAAAAGATATTGATGAAAGTAATGAAAATCTCGACTTAGAAATCAAATTTTAAATTTCTTTTTTTTCCGAGGAACTTATTATAATGTTTTAAACATGTCTGCAAAATAATCATTCAAAAATAAACATCAGTTTAAAAACAGAGACTAAAACTACGTGCATAATAATTTTGTAAGGACTAAAATATATCTTTTTTTTATAGGGACAAAAAATAAAATTCGGTAATTTATAGGGACCAAACATATTTACCCTTTTTATTTAAATTAACATTTGGATTATCTTTTTCAATGTTATACTCCCTCCGTCTCACAATAGGTGTCATCTTTCCTATTTTTATTTGTCTCAAATTATTTATCATTTTAGAATATCAATGTGATATTTATTATTTCTTTTCACTACCTTACCCTTTTTATTGTAGGGTTAAATAAGTTTTTGGTCTCTCTAAATATCTCAAAGTTCATTTTTAGTCCCTCTAAAATTTTCCTTCAAAGAATGATCCTTCTAAAAAATTAAATTTTAACTTTTGGTCCCTCTTGCAATTTAGCAACAGTTTTTACAACTTAGCGACGATTTTTATTTAGCGACGAAATTAGAGACCATTTTAACTACGATTTTGTCAGGAGGGACCAAAAGTTAAAATTTAATTTTTTTAGGAAGACCATTCTTTGAAGGAAAAATTTAGAGGGACTAAAAATGAAATTTGAGATATTTAGAATGACCAAAAACTTATTTAACCCTTTATTATATGTTAATTTATGTAACTACTTCACTACCTATTATTAATAAGGTTGTTTTAATAAATGATACTCATTTTATTATAAAAATCAACACTATTAATTATTATCTTAAAAAGTGTGAAAATCTCAAAGATGACACTTATTGTGAGACGGGAGAGTAACATATAATTAACTTACAAAAACAACTAAGTTTTATCTCAATTAGAGGAGTCACTCATATCATTTTATGTTTGTCATAATGTTATTATATTCATAATCATAATTCCAGTTAAATTTTTAATCTTGAAATATATTTTAATAACATCTTTTATAGTTTTTAGGGTCATCATATATCTCTAATTATTTGATTTTTTTCATATGATCTAATATTATTACTACAGAATCTACATATCTTCTTTCTACATGCTCAAACTACCTAAATCTATTTTCTGCCATATGTGTTTACTATAGGTGATTCCTTAACTTTAATCTTATATTGCCTAGTTTTACCACACATTCAACGCGACGTCTTCATATTTGCTACATTTACTTTATTTTTGTGTTGATTCTTAACTTTCCAACATTTTGTCTTATATAACATCGCAGATCTTACCGCAGGCCGATATAATTTTTTGTTCAACTTGAGTGGTACTTTTGTGTCGCGTAAAACCTCTAAAATCCTCCTCTATTTCAGCCGCTCTGCTTGAATTAGATGATTTACATCCTCTTATATTTCCCCCCTCTTTGAATTCTCTCTTTATGATACGCTAGTCATGCCATCTTTTCATTCTCTCCTTATATAGTCTAGTGTTCTCATACGCATCAAGCCTCAATTCTTCCAACAAATTTAATTGCAACTTTCTTTTTTCTTTTGTTGTCACAGCGTGTAACATCCCAATTTTATTTAGTATATTTAATTATTTTATTAATTAGTATATTATATAGTAATTAATTTAATTGTGTGATTTGGTGAATATTTGAATTATTTGAATATATGTGTTATTTGAATAATTGGATTTATGAGTAAGAATATAAAATAGTTAGAGTTAGGCTTTATGTCATAATAGAATGGGTAAGTGAAATTAGGCTCATTAATAAAATAGAGTAGTAAGAAGAGGGATTAGAATTAGTGTTGTCATAAAACAAAAAAGAAAGAAGAGAAGAGAAGAGAAGAGAAGAGGAGAAAGAGGAGAAAAGAAGAAAAATGAAGAGACAATCCTAAAGACTCTATACTCAAGATAAGGGTGATAATCTATGTTATTATGGGAGTATATGATGGGTAGTAATATGTAATAGGATTGAGTATGTGAACTTCTAGGTTTTGAATCACCCAAATTGATTTAGGGATTTGGAAATTAGGTTTTTGAAATCTAGTTTTTATGATATAAATAGGTTCCCTATGATGTATACATGTTAGAATATGTTTATTTGCTGAAAAATAGGCATTAGAACATATCTCGATGGTGATTTTCGTGTACAAGTCAGTAGCTGTTTGCAGCAGATTTTTCTGGTTTTCGCAGAGGACGCTTAGCGCGGGTGGCTGAACACAGAAAAATTATTTTACGCATGAATGGAATTGAGATCTTATATGTTATGATTTATCATAGATTTACATGAATTTTAATAATTTATTCGATGTGTTTTAGATTGGTTTTGGATGAGTTTTAATGAATACATGATACTTGATTTTAGTATAATGTACGTTGTATTTTGGTGATTATTGAAAATAACATTGTTTGGCTTATATGTTATATGTCGTTTGTGAACTGTGATGATGGTTAATACTATGCAAATGTATTGTTAATGATGTTTATATGACAACATGATAAATGTATGTTTTGTGTAATTGTTGGTGGATAATTCAATGTGTTGAATTATTGTGATATGTCTGGATGATTAAGATTGTGAGATGGTCTTAATTGCATATATTTATTGGAAATTGCACATGCATTCATGAGGAGATTGAACTCCGGTTGGTTGCTTTGATCCTTGTGTATGTAAGTGTTAGAATTTGATCGTGTTTGAATATATACTGATTTTTATCTAATTGCTACATGTTATAATGATGTGTTGAGATGATTTATACTATGAGATTGTGTATATATGATTGATTGACATGAAATATGTATATTATGAAATATTGTGAAGATAATTCAAAATATGTTGAATTATGTGATGAGTTGTTGTGATCAGTTATTGAGATTGCATATGTACATGCATCATTTGTGTCAAGAGGCAAGGTTTGGTACTTCTGTGGAAACTATTAACTTGTCCCAAGTCTAACGCTGAATGGGATTTGAAAGCTTAAGGATGAATCGAGCTTTTATTAGTGGTTATTTGTCTTGGAGATATGGACCTGGAAGGACCGATAAGGATAGCATTGGTACCACATGCATAATGCATTTGAGTTGCATTGGAGTCACATGTGTCGATGTGAATTGTTGCATTATCACTCATTATGTAATATTTGTTTGAAGGTGGTGTTTTGATGTGCAACATGTGATAATTGATATAATTGTACAATTGTGATAATTGGAATTGAATTTCATTTGGAATATGAATTGATGAGCTATGTTGTATATGTGGATTAATATATTGGACTATGTTATGCCGAATACGTGGTTTTATGAAGAGTGGTGAATTCATATTGGTGTATGTATGTTTTACATTGCTTATGATTATATATTTTCATAATGATATGAATTCTGACCCTTTTATTGGAATGATGTTTTATACGATATCGCTCAGGTGTCGGAGATAGCGCTGCTTCTTGCCAGGATTAGAGGAGGAGCTAGATCCTTATTTATCTACTTATTCCTAGGTAGTGAGTCATTACTCTGGTCTATGTAACACGGAGATATTCGAAGTCATGTTTGATTTGTTTTGAGAGATATTTTTTATTACTCTCTTTTATTTGGATATGTGTGAGATTATGTGATGTTTGGCCTCACTGCCTAGTACTTATGATATGGTTGTCAGTATGAGATTTCAATCATTTATATCTTTTTGTTGAGATAATTATTCTGCTGCGAGATGCATATTTTGTATTGGTGTATGAAACGTGAATTTGAATACGTGTTATGATCATGACCAATATGCATGTTTGAATTTTCTTTATCATTTTGTGAAGTCAATTGTGACACCCTCTTTGAGATGTATGCTAACTTACTCTTATTATGCTATTTATGTCTATGTGGGGTTAGAGGGTGTTACAATAGTGG